GCTGTGGAAGTTAGCATTCTATGTTGATTTGACAAAACATGTGAACGAACTGAATTTGAGATTGCAAGGAGAAAACCAGCATCTTCCTGATTTATACACTAATATCAAATCATTCCGGAAGAAATTGATACTGTTTCAATCACAACTACGAAGTAAATGTTTTTCACATTTTAAAACATGTGAAATATTCAGCCACACCACTGAGACTGAGTTTCCTATCGATTTTGCAATCGAAACTTTGAGTGCTTTGAAAATAAATTTTGATACTCGTTTCTCGGACTTTGATGCCATTGCGAATCAAATTAAGATTTTTCAGAATCCTTTTGATACTGACATTGAAACCCTAGCCCCGGAACTTCAAATGGAAATGATTGATCTACAGTGCAGTGATATAATTAAGAACAAATATCAAAACTCATCTTTGCTGGAATTTTATAAGTCTTCCACTGACACAATTTGATAATTTGCATAAATTTGATCGTGGGCTGTTTTCTGTTTTTGGTACTACTTATTTGTGTGAGAAGACCTTCTCCAAAATGAAGTACACAAAAAATGTTTACAGATCTAAATTAACTGATGAGCATCTTAAATCTCTTTTAATAATTGGTACAAGTAAAATTAGTCCACAACTACAAACTATTGTCAGTGGAAAATCTCAATTACATAAATCTCATTAGTATTTCATATGTCATTATGCTTGTTATAAGTTATGTTTTTATTTAAAATGTATAAAATGTTAGTTGGATTCATTTCAATAATTTGTTAGTTATTATATACTGAAGTTAAATTTTCTGCATATTATACATGTCTTTACTCATTACAATTCTGTGTTTCTTTATCCAACTTATCACAAAAACAATAAGCCTACAACAATGTTATGAGTAGTTAGCCCATGACCATATCAATGTAGATGTCATATTAATAATTATTCAACATAAAATTAGAACACTTCAGTAAACTAAATTTAATTTTCTCTAAAAAATATGTTCTCTAAAAGGAGTTTTCAAGTATGCTAGCTCTCCACGGGCCGGATGTGGCCCTTGGGCCGTAGTTTGGAGACCCCTGCTCTAGACGAATGGCGAGTTCTTCCCGAAGACAGACTATACATCCATCAACATAACAAGGTAAGCCAAAATAAATATTTTAAAATCTATTTTCCAAAAAGGACAGGGTGACAATTATTGAACTTGATGAAATAAAAACGGCCCCCTGTTTTTGATGAGACGCGGTTCGTATGAGACACAGCTCGACCCAGTCAGACCAAGAAAGTGTTTGATGCCTTGGAGGAGCACTTTGGAGACCGTATTTTGGCTCTGGGTAACCTAGAGGTAGCTAGAATAGGACTCAGTGGGTCGCCATATTCTCCAGACTTGAACACATATGTCTTGTTTTTGTGGTACTAAAGACAATGTATACAGAAATAACCCCAAAACCACTGCTGAGCTGAAAACTGCAATTCAGGAGGTCATTGACAGCATCGATGTTCCGATACTCGAGCGGTTCATGCAAAATTTTGCTATTGTCTTTGCTACATTATAGTCAATGCTCGAAGGCATATCGAAGATGTCATAACCTAAATCCGAATAGTTGTATGATGTTTACATACTGAATAAAGTTTGTGCACTCAATAGTTTTTAAATAATTTAAGTTTTATTTCACACATTTCAATAATTGTCACCCTATAAGACACTAAATATTAGTAAGAAAATTTTTTAAACCTTGAATGGCAAAAACCTAGGTCTCTTGTATGGTTGAAAGCCAGAAGGACTGACAGGTTGGAAGAGTGCCTGGTGGGCAGCTGCCAAAGCTCCACCTTGAAATCCATCTTGAGCATCTCCCTCGGCAGGAGCTGGAGCATCCACCGCAGCAGCTTCAGGTTGCTGCAATACATTTTCAGTCAATTTATAAGTATACATAATATTGTTAATAATTTTAAGAGATTAAATAAAAGAGCAACTAAGCAAGAAAAAGCAATTTTTAAACAGAAATATTTGACATAACTAAAAGTTTAAAGCATTTCTTTTATTCATTTTAATTTGTGAAATGAATCCTTTCATGTCAATTCCTAAAAACTTGTCTATTATAATTAAAAAAACAGAAAGGTATTAAATGGAATGGATGTGGAATCACATCTTGTTACTATTACCATTTTGTTACGTGTATACTTATCTGCATACAATTCTTTATAAACATTTATAGATATTTTAAATGACCAACTTGTTCAAGTAAATTCAATAAAGTAAATTGATCACTGAAATACTTTATATAGTGCATCAAGGATTTAAATCAAACAATTAAAATCGGGATTTTACATCATAAAATTAATGCAACATTAAAAATGAATAACAGACTGGACAACTGATTTACAAACATTCAGTCAAGAAAATAACAGCAAACACAAAAGCAATAGAATACATTCAAAGGTTTGCATAGAGTTGTTAGTCATTCTAATGACTCTCACAATCTCTTATTCCTTGATTGTCACCCATCTATTATATTTCAAGGCACAACGGATGTGGAACAGTCAGATACTATTTTAAAGAACTTTATTAGCATGATTCTCACAAAATGAAATTTTCATTGGTGAATCCAAGTTATGCAAGCTACAAACTTTGGTAAGACTGATATACTATCTCATTAAAATCTTTTTCATGAGACTTTATTAATGAAAGCTCACAATAAACGAGTTTAACTGCATGGAATGAATACTCCCAAGAAATTGAAGTGAAAAGATCAATTTATCAATGGGAAAACTTCAGTAGCTTCAAAAATTAAAGGAGAAAAAAATCAACATGTTCAGCCCTCTCAAAACAGATACTCTTTCTGCTTACTTCTGTTCACATATTAGTGGGTCTTGATAATGGATGCCTGTTTTGAATATTGAAACATATGTTTTCCGCCTTGATTTTTAAAGCAATTTCGAACATTAAGGATTTAAAATAAACAATATCGCTAGCTAAAATAATTTTTTTTAAATGCAAACAAATACATTACCACTTTCAAATATTCAGTTTATAAAAAAAAAACAAAGATTATTCATATTTTCATACCTGTTCCTCAATCTCAACATCTCCTAAAAGATATGATCTAATATCTAAAATATAAGACACTCCTATGCACCAGGTGCGAACAAAAAATTTGAGCCACTGCCTCATATGACCTTGTTCTAAAAGGGCAGGCAATACCACTTGCAACAGAACTAACTCTAATGATAGCTCACTATATGGCATCTCACTGAAAGAAAAATATTATGTGCAATCTCAAAGAAAATAACTCTTTAATTTAATAAAAATATTACTTCAGTGAATTTAAAAAGAAATTTAACAAAATAAAATTTTTTAAAACAAAATAAAACAAAAAAGAAATATAACATCAAAAATTTTTATTTTTAAATAATTATTTAAAGGAGTGAGACAAAGAGACAGGGAGAGAGAAAACTGAACAACTGGTAATATTTAACCTATTATTTATTTGCCATAAAATAATCAATGCTAACAACCACTGCATAAAAACTCAATTAAAAAAATAAATGTTAGCTCATACTTATGACCTCTAAGGCGACAGCTCTACCCCCTGGCAAAACATTGTGAGACAAAAATAATAATAAAGAAATGGACTCAAGGAAAACAAGCAACATTAGTCAAGTGATGCTTTTAAGTTCATCGGTCGCCGCAACATAACAATCTTTACTTTATTTATTTCCATGTGTTGACCATTATAGATATCAGAACTCAAGTATGCCAAACAATATGAATGTAAATGTAAAACATTGCAAGAGCACAACCAAAACATTTTAGCGCCATTATGCAAAATAATTTAACCTATTTCCTAATCCAAAATTTTTTTTAACTTGTGCTCATTGAAAACTTGGAGAAACACTTTCAATATTTTTTATTGCTAAGAATTAACAGCTTTTAAAATAAAATTTATAATTTTGATAACATTTAATTTTAAAAAAAGTTATCAAATTTAATAAAACCATGTTTTGTTTAAATTTTTTTAACAGAGCAAGGTCAATATCAAGACCAAAAAAAATTTTTATTTTGTATTTATTTATTTATTTTTTTTTTTTGTTAAAGGCATTATGCAAACATGGTTTTAGATATTATATGTTATTATCATAGTATTTAAATTAAAAATGCAACTTTTGCCATTAGTTTATGATTGAGTAAATATAATAAAACATACAACAAACATTATCACAAATGAAAAATTTTTAATTTTTCAAATTAAAAATAAATAAATAATTTATAAAAACAAAATGTCATTTTCAATTCATTGTATTTTCAGAAGGTTGAAGATGTACCCTCTTTATCTCTTTTATGGGAACATTTAAACACTTATGTAAAAAATAAAATTAAATAATTAGCTAAGGCACTTAAAGTACCATAATAGTTGGGTAGAAGTGAAAGTCCTTAAATTTGGTAAATAACTATGAGAACATAAACTAAAGATAAGCAATTACCTTGACAATACTACGTGATAAGGAAGGAATCCAGGTGCCATTTTTTCAATAATTTGAACTGGAAGCCAAACAACAAGGAGAATAGTAGTTCCAAATGTTACTAATGAGACCAACACTCTTCGAATATGTCTCAAAATAGGAGAGTGAATCATCTAAATAACAAAAACTTTGTAAATAATAGATCTAATTTTTTTAATAAAAAAAAGTTGTATAATAGTAGAATATCACTTTTTTAAAAGGCAGAAAAATATTCTATAAAAAATACTTATGCCTACTCTTCAAAAATCTAACTGCAATAAAGTTGTATTTTATATGATACTTTGGACTTTTGATATGTAGTGGTGGAAAAATACTAAACTAAAAGTAACTTTAATTTCATTACAATTAGAAAATATTTTTGTTACAAAACAAAGCCAGTTGGCATCTCTGAGATTGTCTCTCAGGACGAAACCGATTTTCCATGTTATTCATATGTCAAAACTTAGTAATATTTAAAATGCAAAAGATGACTATCCAATCATTTTTGTGAAAAATAGACATTAACCATTCTTCCCTCTTGATATTCAATTGCTATTCAAAAATTTAATTACGAACAAAAAAGCAGTTCAATTTTCTTTTCCATTACAAATATTGCACATATTCAGGTCACATGTCAAACGAAAAAAAATTGAGTCCACACTATAACTCAAGCAGTTTAATTATGAATGCACAAAAATTACAACATGCTAGTAAAATGATTGTGCACTGACTTTCAAAAAATGCAATGATACTTTAATGTCAAGTTAGAAATGCAATTGATTATTGGAACACAACTATAAAATTTTACATACACACTTATTTCGAACTCTCATTTTTTAAAGTAAAATTTTAAAAAAAGTACAAACCTCTTGAATGGGATTAAAATCAGGATCATTGAGATTCTTTAAAAACCACAGAACACCAGGTCGTAAAACTTCTCTGAGCAATAATATAAAAGATGCAAAGTAAAACACGTAAACCATGCCTGCAAGCCAATGAATAAACATGGAAGTGCCAGGAGCAAGTCTAAAGCCAGCTTCTCTATCATGAATAGTAGCATCCAACATAGTCTATTAAAAGATAAGAAATTTTAAAACTAATGCAGAAAAAATATAACATTTAGGGCATAGCACACCCTAACATAGATGATTTAAAACTTTTATAATAACAAATTTATTGTAAAATTGTCAATTTATATATTTATCTATAAATTGCAGATATTTTTGAAGTTCTTTAAAAAATAAAGCCAGAGAAACATCTTTCAACTCACTAAAATCATGGTTATTCTAAAGAAGGGAAAAAAAAGTTCAATCAGTTTAAATGTTAAAGAGATTAAACCCCTTTTGCATCTGTTTGGAAAAACAAACGATTTTGTGTGAAATAATATATTTTAAATAAATACATTTTTATTTGCAATGGAAAATATTATATAGTTAAAATAAATACTGTACATTTTTAATTGAAAGAAAAATTCATAAAAAATTATTTGAACATTGAAAAAACTTTTTTTTTTCAATTTTTAATCTGAACTACTTGGTTTATCTGTAAACTGAATTGCTTGAAAGGTGACAGCTGAAGAATTAATTCCACTCTAGAAATAAATATATTCATTCAACTTCCAACATTAAAGGAACATTTGATTACAGAAAGAATTTATTTTATCTTTATTAAGGTTAAGAGTTTTCTGTTTGGTTTTATTAATATCAAAAGTAAAAATTATTTAGTAATAACATTTTATGAGAAACAAATATCATAATATGATAAGCGAATGGTCCTTATATAGGAATACGGTATATAGTAAAAAGGCAGTATATTCAATTAATTACCTTACACACACCTTATAATAAAAAGTATTATTTTTCATGGATTTTTGGGTTCATAAACTTTAAAAAAATTTATCTTTATCAGAAAAAATAACATTCAAGTCAGCGCTTGAAAAAACCGCCCATTCTTGGCGGTCGAAAATTACCTGTGGACAACGAATTTCTCGAATTCGATGTCCGCGCGGACGGCCATTTTCCCGTTAATGTTCGTGATACATTTTGAATTTTTGTTATCTTACAAGAGTCTAGCGCAGGGATGGGGAAACTNTTTCTGTTTGGCTTTATTAATAAAAGTAAAAATTATTTAGTAATAATATTTTATGAGAAACAAATATCATAATATGATAAGCGAATGGTCCTTATATAGGAATACGGTATATAGTAAAAAGGCAGTATATTCAATTAATTACCTTACACACACCTTATAATAAAAAGTATTATTTTTCTTGGATTTTTGGGTTCATAAGCTTTAAAAAAATTTATCTTTATCAGAAAAAATACAATTCAAGTCAGGGCTTGAAAAAACCGCCCGTTCTTGGCGGTCGAAAATTCCCCATGGACAACGAATTTCTCGAATTCCATGTCCGCGCGGACAACCACTTTTCCGTTAATGTTCGTGATACATTTTGAATTTTTGTTATCTTACAAGAGTCTAGCGCCTCACTTCTAAAATAATCCTCTCAGGGGCCTGTCCAGATATTTTGTAAAAGGTCCGTTTTTGTAAAATTGTGAAAAAGTTACTCGTGATTTGAGAATATAAAATAAACGTTAAGTTACATTCGTTCAACCAGGGTCCTGCTTCTGTGAATTTGTGCAAATAGGGTCCTGCTATTGCAAAAAACTTTTTCAAGGAGTATTTAAATTGTAAAGAGATAGAAGATTATGCTCAACACAGTAAAATAATAATAATAAAAAAATTAAATTTTAAAAGATAAACAGCAATTGTTGCTACTAAATTAGAAATGCAACATACAAATATTTGGTATTTAATCTATACTGCTGAACGCTTAATATTCATTTCGGACACATAAAGGAAAAAGCGTCTGCCGAAGACAAAACTCAGTTCAGTCTTTCTCCCCGCCCCCTAGGAAGGGTTTATTCGATTAACAAAACAAAAATGAAGATAAACAAATTTGTGAAGGGTTAAAAGATAAATTATTTTGTGAAGGGTCCGCTTTTAAGAAAAAATATTTTGTGAAGGGTTCGTTAACAGACCCAAATTTCTTCTAAACAGATCTAGAAATCCTCTTATCTAGAAATCCTGTTAATTCCTTCGTCAGACCACATGCGCATGCTCCCGAAATCGGGGAACAAAAGAAAAGTTGCTCTGTGCATATGCATTTGGACTTCTAACAAAGGAATTAACAACTCCTCTGATCACATACCGCTAAGCTCGTGACGTCACTGTTGACTTCCCCTTGCTGCCTCCAGCCAGGGCCCTCAAATCCTGAGGTGCTGTTCCTCGCGTTACTCCTCTTACTTTCTGAGTCACTTGTCTTCTCGAAATTCTTGTCTCTCGCCCCTACTTCTAAAAAAACTAATGCAGTCCGACTCCACTTGCATTACCGTTCTCGCCATATTTATGGCCAGAAGATGAAACGGCAGCAAAGCATTAGCAATTATTATAGCAGAATCGGAAACGATACCAAAAAAAGAGGTGAAAACCATTACAGAAAAGATTGGTCCATATAAATTTTATTTTCAGAAATTGATTTCGAACTAATAATTTCTTCATTTTATGAATTTCCTTGCATTTTAAATGCATTTTCTAAAGAGCATTGATTTTGAGAAAATTTCTTTACCCTAACACACATTACAAAAAATTTTTAAAGTAGAATTCTTAGAAATTTTATATGTAGATATTGTAAAACGTCAGTGATGTTTTGAACAGAAAGCTAAGGTCTAAGTAAGAATTTATTATTTCTATCAAGCTTTAAGTATGATTAATTGGAATTTCAATTTAAAAATTCAATATTAAACAATATATTTAAATCTATTTCATTGCCCTCTTAAAATTTTTTTTAAGGATTTAGTTTAAAATGTAAGTAATCACATTGATTTAGGAATAAAAATTATTAAATTATGCATTACAATTTGTCCTAGACCTGTTAGCATGACATGAAAAATCCGTAGTTCTTAAGCTCAAAGTTGACCTTATTTTGTCATAACCAGTCAGATACCTTATTTTGTCATAACCAGTCAGATACCTTAAATGAATAAACTGTGAAAAGATATAATACTTTTCCTTTAAAACTAGTTACTTACCAAAGAGCATATATCTAACCACCATCCACAGACAAGTGGGAAAATTCCTATTTCAATAACAGACAGAAGGGACACCTTGATGACAACGTAACATATTCCAAGCAATCTTCTTGTTTTATTTAACCGGATAATAGCAGCAGCACCATGCAGCAAAGCTAAGGCTATTCCTATGTTGATATACCCAAATAGAGTCGTTAATAAGCCTTCAAATTCAGGAGCATTCAGCTGGAAGATACATAATTATACATTAACAGGAATGAGTTAGTAAAAAACCAAGAAAACAGAAAATAGAAATCCAAAAATATTATCTGACAAGAGAATACAAACTTTGGAAGAAAGAAAAAAAAAAGCTGAAAAAATTAAAATTTATGATTTTTATGTTACACACACCTTTGAGTATCAAGGATGCAGGAACAAAATCAATTTATTATGAAATTTTAATTGAATTTTTTTTAAATAAATATTATTTAAAATCTTCACTCATATGTTCTGGTAATACTACTAGCATGGTAATAAGCAAAGTAATTTTCATTAATTTTCTAATATATTTTACAATTTATCTACTTTTAAAAAATTGTATTTTGAAAACTTATATAATTTGATCAAGCACACTTTCAATCAGCAGAATTAATTCCAGTTAAATATAAAATGTTTGAAATAGTTACTACAACATAAAATAAATCAACTGCATATAATAATAAAACTTACATATTCTTTAAATCCAAAACAGGATATTGAGAACTGCCCAATGTGATATGGACAAAACGCTGCAAAATAAAATAAAAATTAAATGTCTAACTACATTTTGGATAGTTCAAGAAAAATTTAAAACAAAGTTACTAATAACTTACCAAAAACAACTATAAAAAGCGTATTTAGTGACACAACCCAAAATACATGTTCCTAAAAAATAAGAAAATAAAAAAACAGCATACTAATATATCAGAAAAACTAAATACATAACATGTACCGTATATTCCGGCGCATAACGTGCCCCGGCGTATAATGCGCATCCGTAATTTCTAATAACTTTTTTAAAATTTTAAGATATACTCTTCGTATAACGTGCACGAAAATTTGGATTGTACATGTGCAATATCTCGTCTAGTATCAATAGAAAACCAGAAAGCCTTTTAGTGTTGGGACATGTTTAGGTCCCACCTTACAGATAATACAAAAAAATTGTTGAAAGAATGAAACACCCAAATGGCAGTTATTCCGGGCGGATTGACACCATTAGTTCAGCCATTGGACGCCTGCTTAAACAAACCATTTAAAGCCAATTTAAAAAAACAGTGGAACACTTGGATGTTGGAGGGCGAGAAAACCTTTACGAAAGGAGGACATATGCGCCATGCAAGTTTGGAAACATTGCGCGAATGGATATTAAAAGCATGGGATGAAATTAAGCCTGAGATGGTTAGAAAATCATTCAAAAAATGCAGCATTTCAAATAATCTGGACGCATCAGAAGATGACTGTTTATTTATGGATGAGGGTAACACAGATGATGAAGACGAAACAGATTGTGATGACGTGCCTGAAGAAATAACGGAAGAATGAACTATTTATGTAATAACGAAAATCAATAAAGTATGTAGGTAAAGATATGTTATTTCTTTAAAATAAAATTATTTTTCTATATTTAAATTTTTTTAATGTATAATTTTTTATATTCGACGTATACCGCGCTCCCGTACATTCCAATCTTATTTTTTGCATTAAAAGTGTGCGTTATACGCTGGAATATATGGTAGTTATTTTTACTATAACCATAATACTTAATAAACAATAAAACTAATGCACATTTCTTTCCAATAATTGATTATATACTCTATTGCAAGTCAAGAAAAACTATTATCCATATGGAGAGAGCCTGCTTGCATCTAAGTATACACCAAATGGATGCAAAGGTCCAAATATGTATATCTTTTTTTAAAAACTTGCAACAGAAAGGTATTAAAGTGAAGATAAATCACATGATTTTGCATCTATAATTCTTCATAATTTTGGTAATAAAATTACGTAACAGAATTTTTACAAAGTATATTATAATAGTAATAAATAGAGGAAAATCCAAAGTTAAAATTTAAGATTTCACTTTAAGTAGTTAAATGGCATAAGTTATTACAATAATTTTTAAAAATCTGAAATTGCTGAGTTTTACATCTAATGTTTCACAACAAAATAAATAAGGCTTAAAATAATATGCCTAAAATTAAAAAATAAAAAATTCACATTTTTGCATAATAATCTATTAATCTGAATAAATTTATATATAAGGAATACCTCAGTATTCTTTTAAAAATAATTATAACTAAAAATATATTGATATTGATTTACCTTATTTTCAAGTCACAATTTAAATTTTACTCATGGTCAATCATTACTTTTCAAACATTAGTTCAGTAACTTTATTTTACAATATAAAACAGCTTAAGTAAATCTGAACAAGTGCTCCGTAGACAAAGTTCATCATAGATTAAGTGAATAATATTTTCTGAATATGTCATAGACGATTTTTACATCTTTCTATACTATTTAATTCTCAAAGACGAAAATCCAAATTTTGAGTCAACATGAAATGAATGAGGAAAAAAATTACATACTAAGAAAACTAGTGATCCATCCAATCCCAGAAGCTGAAAAACAAATACAAAATATTACACTTTAAGAACAAAACAAAAAAAAAACTTTATAAAGCATAAATTAAGTACAAAAATGGGCATGGGCAGTTAAATTGAAAAAGAAATTAATTCAGCATCGGGATTACTATATTATTTCATTTAAAAATCCAACATTTTAGGGAAATAATGCTTATTTTAACCAATAATTTAATAACCTAGAGTGCAATTTTCATGAATTTAACAGACTAAATTTTAAAAAAAGGCATTAAAGCAACATAAAACTATTAATAAAACATCAACTTCTATTAAAAACTATCTAATAAGAAAACAAAAACAGACCAAATTATAAATACAATTATAAAAACATGGCATAGCATACTGTTTCAAAAACTCTTCTATTTACAAATAAGAACCTAAAGAAAATAATTTAAAAGTGGAATGACACGAAAAAAAAACATTAATTCAGAATTAAATTGTGCTTAAATAACATGTCTTGTTACAATATGTTAATCTTAAAATTATATGAATAATATCAAGTATATTTCTTTTATTTATACTTATTTAAACCAGTATAGTTGAAACAAATTTCTTTTAAAAATACAGACAAGTGACAACATTTCACAATCTTTGAAGAGGTTGAAAGTGTTACGGCACAATACATAAAATACATAGATATTCCTCACAATCTAAATCATAGGCAACATCCAGATTTCTTAATATTGGCAAAAATGTCTTGAGTCTGTTTGTTTAATTATCTAAGGTTAATAATTCTATATAAATGTGAAAAAATTAAAAAGGTAACTAGCACAGCAGATGTGATTTTGGCAGAATGTTATCTTCAGGATGTTTAAAGAAAAGTTCTAGAGAGGCACCAAGTACAGTACAAAAATTTTAAAAAAAACATACTTCATCTGAATAAACATACCCGTTTTAAACGGATTTGGATTTCTCGCCCTTAAAATAAAGGTTGGCCGTCAAAAAATTGGGAAATATGGTCCTAATCTTCCAGTCAGGAGAATGATCGAAAGTTTGAATACCTTGATATTAGTCTGACTTTTTGCATATTTTGAAAACTTATAATTGGATTATGCACAAAATAATATAATTTGTTTATATAAAAATAATTCCATGCAAAAAATAAGTTTTAATAATTATTTTTATTAGTTTATTTAATATAAGACAAATTAAATTGTAAGATATACAAATTTTTACATCATTTTAATAATGTAGTTTCATATGGCAAAATACAAAATTTGAATGAAATAGGTCAAATAGGTCCTGAGAAATCGAATTTCAAAGATATATTTTTTTCTAAATTTGTTTACTCAGAAACTATTTAACTGATTATATCTTGATCATAAAAAAAATATTGTATTTTGCCATATAAAATTTACAGTCATTAAATAAAATAATAATTATTAAAATCAATTATTTGCTTGGAATTATCTTTGGATAAATTAATTTTATAATTTTGTACAAAAGTTTTTCGATTTGCTAAAAAAGTATTTGGAGTAAGGTTTTGTACACAAAAATTTAAGTTAACATCAAGGTGTGCAAACTTTTTACTGCTCTCCTATTCCCATATTATAAGGGTCAGAAATCCACATCTGACGTAAAATAAGTATGCCCGTTTGCAGAAAGAAATTTTTGTGCCTGGTTTAGAAACTTAAAATATTGTCTGCACAAATTAATTAGCATGTTTAAGGTCACCTCTTTAAACCATTAAGTTTGAGTATAATAGTAGGTGAAGATCTGATCATTAAACTAAAAGATACTCTGCGTTTCTCCCCTTTTTTGCACAATACAAAATTGCATTATGCATTTACAACTATTAATGTCCTAAGTGAGATTTAAGTATACTAACCCTTTCCCAAGTAAGTTCTTCAGCAGCATGATCCCATTCAATAGGATTCCAGTTATTCACATCTAAAACAAAATCAATAATTAACAAAAGGAGAAATATAAAAAAGGAAAGAGAAGATTCTCGAAATAACTATATTACCTTGAGCACCATTATTTCCTTCGTTACCATCTTCATCGTTATCCGGCGGATTGATAGCCGGTGCATTCGCTTGAAGATTATTGTTAGCGAACTCTACAGGCTGATCAGCTGCATTCTGAAAAAATTGCATATTAAAATGCTTTCTGAGGATTGATACTATTTTTTAAAAAATTGGTTATTATTGCTGAAACAAAAAATTAATCAAATATGACATTATCAACCAACTGGCCTATATTTCTTTTGAATAAATTGTCTTAAAAACTTGGGTTTCATCAAATGAATTCTCAACAACTGAATTCTCAACATTGAACATAAGGTTGTTTTATAGATTGAAAGAGTAAAGTAAAAAAAAAAGAAAAAAATTTAAAAATTCATGCAGGTTTTAATGTTACACTAGAAAACTACAAAAAAATGCAACAAAAAGATTAATTTGTTTAATTATTACAAGAGTTGATCGACGTGGAGCCTACTGATGTCTTTACATAGCCTACAATGAGGTAAAAACATTTCTCGCATACAGACACTTAATTTGCTTGGACAAGCCTCACCTATAATCTTCTTTAAATGTAGAATATGCATTTTTCACGAAGTCTCACCCTCTCAGAATTATTTGCCACTCCATATTTTAAGATAAGTTTTCTTCTGCTTAATTTCTTTTATTGCCCCTCTGAATTTGTCTATTGAAATTTGGTTCACCCTGTATAAGATACTCTAATGCGAAAACATTGTTGTATCACTCAAATGAATTTGAAGCCAATAAATATATTTCTGTAAAGCTGCTATTAATGCATTATGTGCATCAAAAACTTAAAACGTTTAGCTTTTTTTACTTAAACTTGGCATAAAAAGATTCTCTAGTTTTAGCAAAAATGTCAGCATTTTACTTGGAAATAGAATATATTAAACAAAATGAAAAAAGCTTGATTATTTTTCTAAAATATTCATAAAATAAGCTCATTTCAATGCATCTAAATTTTTTCATACATTTTTGTTTAATCTTATAAAATATTCATTTTCTTTAAGCTTTAGTCGAAAACAGTAGAAGAAATACATGTTTTAATTGCGAATTTAACTAAAAATATTTTTAAGAATAACTTCAAAGAATTTACAAGAAATTTTATAGCCAAATCTTATTTAACAACTGGATATTCAGTTGGTCAGAAACAGTTATTAGAATTAATTTTTTAGAAAAAATCCCTTCATGCAAACACACATTACAAAAAAAGTTTATCACAGAATTCTTTATAACTTAGTATGTAGATTTTGTATAGTGTTGCCTAGGTTTTAAATTAAAAGCTATGTTTTCTTAGCATAAATTGATCAATTTTATCATGCTTTAATTAACAATGTGAAGAATTTTCCTTTAAAAATCAATATTGAACAAAATAAATAAATCTATTCTATATATATTTGAAATTTTTTAAAGATTTTGGCTCAAAATACCGGTAATCATAATGGTCTAGAAAAAAAGTCATACTTATACATTACTAATTGTTGCAGAACTGTAAGCGCAAATAAATTTTTTTTAAATTTTAATGCTCCAATTTTCCCTTATTTAGAAAGAAATATTTTATTAATATTTAAAGTTCACTCAAGATTAAAATTAAGATTTAATGGTGCTAGAATACCTACTTACCAAAAATAAAATTTTTATTAAGGCTATTTTTAAAAAAAATTATGGTCAAAACCAGCAATACTTTACTGTATTTTCCTTGTACTTTAATTTTTTATTTATATATATAACTGGCGTTAAAACTGCCAACCCAATTCTGAGTTCATAACTTTTGATATCCAATTCTGTAGCTGTGTAATTTTGAAACCAATCCAAAAGGTAAAGGATAACCTGGATCAAGTATTTGGACAAACTATAACTTTGTGGATGACTTTATGATGGAACTAACCCGTATTTGTATTGCACGGAGAGGAAAATCACAAAAAACTCTGAAGGCAAGGGGATTCTAACCCCTGATACATCTACCACTGAGGATATTTTACGTCAGCACTATGGTCGGAGCCAACCAGGAGCAGAATTCGTATCGAACAACTATGGAATTCAAACCTGATTACATTTGAAGGGAAATGCTCTATCCCTTCAGATACTTTAATAAAATGACTGCTTACATGTAGTGCTTCTTGTTCATTTTCTAGCCACTCAGGTCCACCACCATGTAAAATCTGTTCACGCAGCCACACCAAACTAATAAAAGCACATAAACAGCATGTGACAACACAACATCCATACAGGCTGTCAGAAAACACGTTTTCTCTAGAATTCAAGAAAAATGTTATGTTAAAATTAGATAATAAAATTAAAACCTTTTTTCATCATTTTGCAATAAAATTGAAATATATAATTTATAAGTAAAATAAAAATGCAAAAAGATGTAAGAACTCACGTAGAAAGCAGATCACCTGGTAAGCTGATAATAGAACTAAAAGAACCAGTAAATAAAGAACGATATATTCGACCTAAATGGATAAAAAAAATAATAAAGATTATCAATAGATAGTCTGCATACAATATGTGAAAAAATAAGATATCACCAACTATTAGCATGAACTATACTAACATTAAAAAAATATATATATTTTTAATGCTTGGAAAAAAACTTATAAACCTGTTTTTATAACAGAAATTCAATACATAAAAAAATTTCAAGGGGGATTTTTTCAAGAATTACATACAGTAAAAATTTAAATGCCAAGTATCAATCATAAAAAAAAAAATTATAAATATGAGTAGTTATGCATGTTACCCTAAGCCCATCTTGTTTACAGTTAAAAAAAAACTTTTTAAAAGCCACTTTTAAATGTATCTGATGAAGACTGTGTGTTTAAGAAGAATACCTTCCATAGGATTAACTGCAGGGTTAACCGCTGAACTGTTATTTCAAAACAGCCACTCACTGCTGCTGATAATTTTATTTTAGGGTGTGCCTTAGATAATTTGCATTCACTTTTTCATATCAAATTTATGAGAACTTAGTATGACCCTTTTTACATCTGTATTTTAAATTACAAAATTGGATGTATTGGCTGCATTGAACTAGGCAAACATGTTATTCAAAAAATAGAAACTTAAAACTTTTCTGAAATCATTTTTGAAAGCACGAGACTGTTCAGAGTATATTGAGAAATATACTGAGGTGAAAAGTAAAAAATGGTGAATGTAAAAAAAAAATTCAAACAGATATGTGATTGCTGGAATTGAAATAAATGCATCTCAGTTTGTAAATAATCAATGAAGAAATTTAGTATTTTTTTTAACTTCACATACAAAACACAGTAAGAACTGAAAAAAANAAAAAAAAAAAAAAAAAAAAAAAAAAAAAAAACAAGATGCATAATAGACCAAATTAGGACATTTTTCCAAAAAAACCAGAAATATACATATTCTAGACTTCTTTTAAAAAGAGCTACAATTTGTTCAAATTAAGAATAATTACAAGACATAATTAAGATCAAATTAAGAATAATTACTAGAATAATTACAATTTGTTCAAATTAAGTATAACAAAGGTAAATTTTATTGCAAAAGAATAAAACATATAAATTTAATTAATAAATTTAAAATTTTTGGTTTTAGAATTACATTGTTTAGAGCAAAATGTCTTAACTATTCAAAGTATAACTTTATTAATGGAGAATTGAATTACTCATAAGAGTTTAAGATCACTCTGTAGAAAATTTTTACAGAACTACTAGAGTAAAAAAAGTATCAGTATATTAGTTAGATAATATTCCCTATCACTAACATTTAATTATGTTTTGTAATATTTCAGACTTTCTATGTTAAATAATTTTAAAGCAGGGCTTCTCAAAATCTTAAAACAAAAAATCAATTAATATGTCATTAAACATTTTTATTCAAAAGTAATTTGATATATGATCCTCTAATTCAACATTTTAAAAATTCTATAGTACGATTTCTGTATTGATGATTGAAACATTGAAGAAATATTTCAATATTAAAATATTCTAAGGGAAAGTTCTTTTCAATCTTTTTAAGATACATAGATGAAAAGAGCTTATCAAATCCCATATTTGAGTAATTACTTTTTGAGACACTCAAGTCGCAATGATTTATTTGAACGTAAACCCAGATGCCCTTTTTATCGTTTTTCAGCAGTCATTTCAATGGATTTCCACTATGATTTCAGAGTATTCACTGTTTTTTTTTACAGTTTTTGTAGTGTATTTAGAACAGTTTCTTTTTAATCCAGATATTATTATTATCATATCATTTTGACACACTAATTCATGGAGATTCCCCTATAAATTCATATGCTCTTATTAATCTCCTTTTCCTTAGTCATCTGCAATGAGTTCTCACAGAAGATTTAAAAGTCAGTTTTTTTTATTAATAAGATATAGTTACAATGCAAATCATATAACTGCAATTACTTCTTGACATGCTTTGATTTATAACAATTTTATTTCAAAGCCATGCCTACGGCTTTTTTAGCAGGGTTTCACGTGGTTCGATAAATAAATATTCCATGTTCAAAATGTACCAATTTTAAAATTATATTTCTATTTAATACAATAGCATAAATGACAAAATATGCAAATATTTCAAATTATACACATGGACAGCGAATTTTTTGTATGAATTTGGTGACATTTGTTAATATCTTGACTACTGTCCTCATGTTGCCAAGCTGGCATGATACCAAGGAATAAAAAAGATTTAATTGAATTTCATATACTACATTAGAATAAATGCTTCCACAGGAACAATTAATTGGGGGGACAATGTGTATATGCCCTGTCATTAATTAGAAATCTCTAACAGCCGCTTTCAATATCTCAAACACATAAAGAAAATTTTCAAATTACCGATTTTAAATTCATTAACCTCAAAAAACTAGAAAGAGATTTAAAAAATTTTTTTTGCAGAAATTTAACAGATTTAAGAAAAAACTCTCATGTGCAAAATTCAGAGAACTATTGTGACTGAGTATTTTAATTTGTCTCAAACTTGGACTCCTATGATGCCTATGGTATCTAAATGGAGAGAAAATTATACAAAGAAAAATTGAACAATGCTTACAAGCAGTAAGTGGCACCACTCCTAACCATGCAACTGCAACTAGAGTATAATGGAGCCAAAATCTTACAGCAGTTCCTAAACTACGTAGAAGTCCACTAAAAATATCTTTTATCGGCAATCTTTTTGGCATATCTGGTGAATATACTAAAATAGAAAAAATTGATGAATTTTTCCCCTTTATATAAGCTAGGACAAATAATTTTATATGTAGTACTTACTGGGCATAAATGAGAACCTATGATTACAGAGTTCACAATATTCTTTTCTACTATACTTGAGCCATTGTAATAAGCTAAAACAATTAATAAGCACATAAAACTGTTACATAATTACAATAAAATGCTTTTTGTACAAATACATGTTCGATATTATAAAAATCCTAATTTTGAAGAAATTCTTAAAATTTCATGAATATGTTGCAATGACAGACAACTCCAGATGCTACAAATTTTGTTAGCAGTACTAATAACCTAAGAATTAGCTACAATCCTAATTTTGAAGAAATTCTTAAAATTTCATTAATATGTTACAATGACAGACAACTCCAGATGCTACAAATTTTGTTAGCAGTACTAATAACCTAAGGATTAGCTACAATAAGAAAATGGACTTTTTTACAATAAATTTTAAAAAACCAAAAAAATAAATAAATAAATAATAGCATAGCTGCCAACTTGTTAAAAACAAAATCAGGAACACAAAGCACAATAAACCACTCAGGGGTAATTGTTACACAAAGTGAAAAACTACCTGCAAAAAATCGATAAAGTTATCAATTTAATACCTGTTTCATATTTAACATAATTTTTTGAACTAAATTTTTTATTTAAATTACTTACTAATGAAGAATATCACACGTTATAGTAACTAATTCAAGAAGAAACTTACTTCTTACAAAAATCGCGACATTCGAAATTGCATGAAAATGAATCACCATAGTGGATTTTAAAAACGCGAAAATATAAATTGTGACATTGAATGTTTAAATGATGTAAATACGAATTCCGGTGAATAATTTTTAGATCAAGTGAACATGAATAGAAATGAGTAGTTTATAAANTCTGCTGCGAGTAAAAGGGGAGAAAATAGCTAAAATAAGTAAAAATGAGAAAGGATTGGTAGCTATGTAGTTCGAATTTCCTGTTTCTCTTTGAAAATCGGTGAATTTTCTGAAAAAGCGGAATATTTATTAAAAAAAGTGAAATTTTTAGAAAAATCTGAATTTTTGATAAAAAAAAAAAGCTGAAATTCAAGAGATAAAAGTGAAAAAAGCGGAAATCCGCTAAAAAGCGGAAAAATCTCATCCCTGATAATAGCATAGCTGCCAACTTGTTAAAAACAAAATCAGGAACACAAAGCACGATAAACCACTCGGGATAATTCTTACACAAAGTGAAAAACTATGTGCAAAAAATCGATATCAAGTTATCAATTTAATACATGTTTCATATTTAACATAATTTTTTGAACTAAAAATTTTCAATTAAATTACTTACTACTGAAGAATATCACATCTTTATAGTAACTAATTCAAGAAAAAACTTACTTCTTACAAAAATCGTGACATTCGAAATTGCATGAATATGAATCACCATAATGGATTTTAAAAACTTGAAAATATAAATTGTGATATTTAATGTATTAATCATGTAAATATGAATCCCAATGAATAATTTTCGGATCAAGTGAACATAAATGGCAATGGGTAGTTTTTAAATCATGTATAAATAAGAAAATCGATATTTGATGTTAAAACTGAGTGAATATGAACCGCAATACTGGATTTTAAAAATGCGTGAATACAAAATCGTGAAGATGGATTTCGAAATCGTGTGATAAGGAATGATGATGTACGATTTTTAAATCAGGTATATATGAACATTGATGATTAATATTAAAATCGCTTAAATAAGAATCCCAATATTAACAGATAATATATAACTGTGATATTAACAGATATAACCAGCAAAGTTCGGAATATTCAAAATGGTGAAAATCTGCAAACCGGGAGAATTTAATTGGAGGAAGAATCACATACATGTAAACGTCTCGTTAACCGGAATTAGCTAAAGTTTTAAAATTTCATCGAATCGTAAGTTTGATTCGCAGAAAAATCACAAGCACTGCCTCTAGTAGTTTAGACCCATTCTGGATTTAAAGAAAATCATTATAAGGAGTGAAAAGATTCTAGAATACTGAAAAAAACAGAACATTTTGATCAAACATCATATTTTTAGAACAAGACTAAAAAATCTAAACAAACAGGATTTAATCAGAACAGTTGGCAGCTTTGTGATGGAGAAAAAGTTCTGAAATAAACTCTATTATCCTCTTCTCAAATCACTAAATCTTTGTTTTCTAATCATAGGCATTTATGTCATAAATATTTTTTCACTTAATGATTCACTAGAATAAAAACTTTAGTTTTGTTATTTAGTTTGTAATCAAAAATGAACTTTGGTCACTACTTGTTCCCTTACAACATTAATTCACCTTTCCAAAATATTCCTTATTTTTTTCATGAAGAAAAATTATTTTCATAAGTTTCAAAAAAATATGCACATTTATTTTAAAAACTAAAATGGTAAATATCTTAACTTCCTTATTTTACTTTGTTGCTCATAAGTAATCATATGAATTTCATTTAAATGTGCAGCCAAATGTGAAGATAGTAATTGGTAAAAACTGGAACAAAATAAGAGGACACACAGGAATGCAAAAAAAAGTTCAATTTTCAAAAGTTTGTTCACGTTCAAATGAAAGAAGCTGTAAAACTTCATATTGGAACATTTTTAGAACTATAATAATAAAATAAGCACATTATTATAATTGCAATCTATTAATGTTGCAAATTTATAAATATTAAAAATTTTACAATAGTAATCTGTATCACTTTCTTTAACGAAATTGCAAGTGTTTAGTAACAAGGTATGTAGTTATTGTGCAATATGTAGCCTATAATCACTAAAACCTTAAGCCCTATGCAATGAATAAGTTTTAATTATTTATTTAACAATTTAAATAAGAAGCTCTGAATATTTATAGAACTTTCAATAAGACAATGAAAAAAAAACATAATATAAAAGAAAATAATCTTACATACCATTCTTGATGAATAAATTTAATACTCCCAGTACAAATGCATGGGTGATATAAAGGCTTTTCTGGAGTAGCCTCTGATCTACAAACCCGGCAAATGTCTGGAAGAAATAAATATATAGCTGCAGCAGGAAATACACATTTTTATTATAAGCATTACATTATATAAAAACAAAAACAAGGCAATACAGGATTGCTACTAAATAGATGAACAAATTTCCCTAACTTTTACAGACATATACAGTCCCGCTATAGTGAACACGGTTTATAGTGAACTCACGGATATAGTGAACAAAATGTTCGGTCCCTTGCCTTGCTATACTCGCATAATGTTATTTTTTGTGGATATAGTGAACCAAAAAAGTGAGGAAGTTGGAAATAATGAACTTTTTTCTGTCTTCGACTGATTTTCTTCTTCATTTTTTTTGCAATAATTTTGAAATTTCTACTTCTAAATAAATACATATACCGATTTGTAAAACCATCTATAGAGAGGTATGTAGTGATAAGCATTTTTTCTTGTTTACCTACTTCTTTTATCTCACTTTCCCATCCTTAAACAAACCAAGTATGTAGATGTTTCCAACTCAGGCAGACGATGCATCTGTAAGATGTCAGTAGGATCAATATGCATTTTCTGTCAGATGGAATGAGTAATTATTCATTATTGGTTAAAGGGTTGAACACTAATATGTGTTAAGGCCCTCATTTCAACTCCTTTTTGCTCTCAGTTTAGTTGAAAAAAGCCTGCAAACAAGTGTCTCAAATTTAACTATAGCGAGCAGTAAACGTCCTCCTTTGATGATAAAATGGGCATAATCAGAAAAATTGAAAATGGATGAAATCAAGCTGATATTTTCAGGGAATGTAAACTATCCAAATCTGCAGTTTGTAACATATGGAAAAATAGGCAAATAATAATTTCTGCTCTTGAAAAAAAATTAGAAAAGCAGATCACAAGGATGTTGAAAAAGCATTACTAAAGTGGTTCACCATTTGAAGAAGCCGCATCTTCCAGTATCTGGACAAATGTCAATGAATTTGCTAAGAGATTTTATGAGACTACTTGTATATGCTCGAATGGCAGGTTAGACAGGTTTGAAAAACGGAATAATAGAAATTCAGAAAAAATCAGCTGAGAGTCGGCAAGTGTTTCCATATCTGATGTTGAGGATTGCTCATCAGCTAAAGATTACTAATTTTTTCGTACGCAAGACGAAGAGTAACGAAAAATAACACATTTCTTGCTACTTCATAATATTTTTCAGTCATTTATTTGAATAATGTGTAATAAAATGGAGGAGTTTGGGAACCATTAGTTAAATTGCCTGCGTAACGGATATAGTGAACTCCCGGTTATAATGAAATGTATGATNGATGGACAGAATTCCCTAACTTTTACAGGGTACTAATCAGGGGTCTGTTCCGAAGAAATTTGGGTCCGTTAATGGACCCTTTACAAAATATATTTTCATAAAAACGGATCCTTTACAAAATAATTTATTATTTAATCAAACCCCTCATAAATTTGTTCATCTTCATTATTGTTTTGTTAATCGAATAAACCCTTCCTAGGGGGCGGGGGAGAAAGACTGAACTGAGTTTTTTCTTCGGCAGACGCTTCTTCCTTTATGCGTCCGAAATGAATATTAAGCGTTCAGCAGTATAGGTTAAATACCAGATATTTGTATGTTGCATCTCTAATTTAGTAGCAACAATTGCTGTTTATCTTTTAAAATTTAATTTTTTTATTATTATTATTTTACTGTGTTGAGCATAATCTTCTATCTCTTTACAATGTAAAAACTCCTTGAAAAAGTTTTTTGCAATAGTAGGACCCTATTTGCACAAATTCACAGAAGCAGGACTCTGGTTGAAAGAATGTGACTTAACATTTATTTTATACTCACAAATTACGAGTAATTTTTTCACAAATTTACAAAAACGGACCTTTTGCAAAATGTCTGGACAGACCCCTGCTAATATTGCAGTATATACTGACAGTGTTATGGTCAAAATATACAGTGAGCCACAAAAAATTAATAATTTATACATTAAAATTGTATATTTTATTTCAGTTAAAAAATATAACACCACAATACAGAAAAAAATGATAGTCAGACAAAGAAAAGATTAAAGAAAATATATCATATAAAAGAGAAAAAAAATAGTCTATAAAATATTAACATTTTGTCGTACTTAGTCCATTTGTTATAAAATATTTTCTGCCCATTTATCATAAAAAAATATATAATGGAATAAATATCAAGGGTCCATTCAGGTGGAAATTGGGGCCTCTTCACAACGCTTAAATTCTGAAAAACTTATGTTCCATTCACAAAATTCTAAATTAGGAAAAACAGCCTCTTCACAATATTTCACATTATAAAAATAATTGCACAAAATTGTTCAATGGGAGATTCTTTGAAAAATCGATTAGAAGCGATGTGATTTTACGACAGTATAGTCACGAATCAAATATGCCTGAACTCAAATTGGTGCGTCCTAATAGCATGAAGAGTTTGGAGTTATAAATATCGGAGTTTGAGGAACCTCAAGGAAAAAGCTGAAAAAAATGGTGAATGAAAGAAGAAAAAATTATCATCCAACATGATGAAATTACGAAAGCAGGGTAACTCAAATTCGAACATCGTAATAACATAGCATCAAAAATATCAGAATTTGAAAAACCATGTGAAAAGGGTCCAATGCGGAAAAAAATATCACCAAAAATCATGACATCAAGATTGATTGAATCGTAACGAATCAAACAAGTCAGAAAATGATAACTGGTTCGTAATTCGAACGTTTTATAAATATCATATTAAAAATACCTGAATCTGAAAACCACATCTAAAGAAATTGAAAAAATGATTAACAACTTCGGAAAAAACTATAATCAAACCATGTGAAATTACATTGGATCACAAACTGAACACCACAAAAAATTATACCAGAAAATATCAGAAAGAGAAAAAAGCAGTCGAAAAAATTATAAATAACTGCAGATCACTAACTACGTAAAATTATAACGGAAATGTCCTAAATTGAACACTTCAAAAGAAGCAATGGCTCAAATTTGAAATTCTCATGTCATAACAATGTATTAAATGCATAGGAATCAATTTGAAAAACCATAAGGAAGCGGCTGAAATATGATCAGAAAAACAAGTGAACTTAAAAGAAAAAAAAATTAATAAAAAATAATTATTGATAAAACAAGTAATCTTTCAGGGGTCTGTCCAGGCCGAATTTGCTACCGTTTAGCGGTACCTTCACAAATTCAACTTCAGGAAAAACGGTAGCTTCACAAAATACTTTTCCTTAAAATTTTGTTTTTGTATCCATTAAGAAACATTAAATCTATATTTTTACCATGTTTTTGTGTTGATATTTTAATATAATTTTTAATTTTTCACAAATTATGTCTAAATTTTCACAAAATAGGTACCTTTCAAAAAAACCTAGACAGACCCCTGTCTTTATCAATTAAGAAATTTTCAGAAAGATAATTTCAATTTCCAACATCAGAATATTTCAGTATAGCTTTTTAATTTCCAAGTGGAACAGAAATCCCCTTGTTACACATGAGTTCTTAGTAACAAGGATAATTGAATTCATTTATCAAACCTTGATTATGGAAGATTAAGAAAATAACAATAAAAAAACATTAATAATTTATAAGAGATAATAAAGCACTATTTATTAATAAAAAATTCTAAATAAAAATAAATTTCTCAATAAAAATTAAGAATAGACAATCTGAAAGATATCCATCTTTCCACCTGTTATATGAATTCTAGGAACTGTAAAGCCTTTTCTAATTGAAAGTTTTCTAAGCCACAAAACCACAGCATGCTATAGTTCTATGAAATTTGGCTCCAAGCCAAATGGGGTAAAAACTATACTCTAGCATACCGAATGTGTTTTGTGGTAAACGCAAAGATCGCAAATATAGCGGTCATCAAATTGAATTCTTTGACTTTCTCAAGATTTTGGCTCAAACAATTGTTAAATTCTTTGACTTTTTAGGAAATTTCTATATTCTCTGACTTTTTCTAGCATTACAGGTAATATAGCCAGCCTGGAAAATATAATTGATTGATGGTTTAATTGTTCACAGTACACTAGAGCTATACTAATGGGATATTAGGGACAATCTGGAATTTGTCCTTAATGATGATCTGAAGATAAATGAAAGTTTGACTCTAATCTATCAAGATCTGTTCATTTGGAAATTATTTGCTAATATAGATAATATCCTTATTTTTTTAATATCCTATATTTCATGCCACAGTTTGTGACATTGTGATTTCATGCCATAGTTGTACATTTTGATTTGTCATATCAAGTTAAAATTAACAATAAATTGTCAAATTTTATATTATTAAAAAAAAAAAAAAAAAAGATTTAAAACTTACATATGAGTTTTAAATCTCTTTTAAAAGGTTTATGCAAGAATAGCCAAAAAAATTATCAACATTTTTAATATTTAATGAATCTTTTGTAAGTATTCTTTTGAAATTTAGAATACAAATACTCATAATTATTTTGAAAATGAAGATGCAAATATTTATAATAATCTAAAAAAAACTTTCAACGCTTTTAGTGCTGCTTAGTTTTGTATTCATTGGCTCTACTAAAATTTATTTACAAGGTTACCTAAAGTTATGAATTATGAAATTTTGTTCAAAGATGGATTACAATGTAAAAATAATTAGTAGAATAAAAAGCTTTATGCATATTTCAGTAGTCTAACTATCATGCATAACATGTATTAAGAAATTTATATCCAGTCAGTCCGGGATTCTTCCGTATCGTGATATGTGGCGCCAACTACAATCGCTAAGATGCCAAGTAGATTTTAAACTTGCAAATTGTTTTTTTTTAAATAAAAAATAAGTAAATGCTTGCTTGAGGGTGGCAATGAGTTATGCTGTTTGAGTTGGTTCCTTTTTGTGATGTTTTTTTAGTATCTCGGGAGCCGTTGCCTGAAAGTTGCCAACACTTGGTGATTATTCTACCACAAATTACGATACAGAAATCTCCCCCGTCAATCATTCAAAAAGGAAGATTTTTGGATTGGTACCAAAGTCAAAAATATAACGAAGTTTTGGAGACATCTAATCAGTAGCAAGTAAAAACTAGCAACAACAAAATAAAAAAAATCGCAGAGCCAAGCAAACTTGAAGATTATAGCTTGTAACCCCCTTTGGGCAAACCACTAAATAAATTTAAGCATTTTCTCAGTCTCTGTTTTGGCACCTTGGCATTTGTGGTTAGTGCAAACAGGTACAGATACAAAATTATTCCCTATCACAATACATTACTTTACACTTTAAAATATTCATTCAATGCATTTTGAATAGAAAGTACACATCGATAATTAGTACAATGGAGGGAAAAAAATTCAATTTTAAAAGCAGGCTTTTGATAATAGCAAACACAAAAATTCCAAATTATTTGAATTTATTTCTAGAGTGTCAAATCAATTATAAATAGCAAGTTACAGGAAGTACTAAGAGAATATAATATTAACCACCTTATTCATAAATTTAAAGGAAAAACTTTTAAATCTAAATCTAAGAAAGAATTTAAACAAACAGCATAAGAGTTATCAATCAAAGATTTTGATAGATATTGACATCATTAGAAAAGAAATATTTTCATTGGGTTTCATAATAATGCTAAAAATTTTAATTGATAATAAATATCCATATTTATAAAGCATATTAAACTTTTCAACGAAACAAAATTATAAAGAAAAATCAATGTATATCTACAAAACAAATAAGGATGTTAACTAACTACATAAACAAACACATAGCATATTAACAAGGGCGGAAAATTGAGAAAAAAAGAGATAATATAATAAGTGCTATTCAAAATAACGAACTTAATAACTGTGTATATGCATACAATTAAATTTAAAAGATAAAGAAGATAGAGTATGATTATTTAAAAAAAAAAACGCAATACAACATTTATCCTAATTAGAGAAGTTGACAACAATCTAGGAACCAAGACTTGAAAATAAAATTTCTAAAAACACTAAACTGTGCATATTCATTGAGAAAAAGTTTATAGATAAAAAAAATAATAATAAATAAATTATTGTACCTTGCATTTGATTCTCATCCATATTTAACATTTTTACAGAACAGACAACTTTCACTTGCGTTGCCAACTAAAAATATTTAGTTTTGAAAACTTATCTGAAAGTAAACATTGCCATTCTATCATTGCATTATATAATTCCTGCTTTTACAAGCATAATACACTATAGAGAGCGCTAATATTATTGACCCATTTAGACTCATGTTTTAATTTTTGAAGAAATTTTCTGAAAAAGAAATTCTTTGAGAAATGTTTGTAATTAGATTTACAAAAGCATTATCCCCATTGTTTAAAACTTAAACAAACCTTAATAATCATACAAATGATAAGAGTGTAGATAATGATAAGAATGTTGATAAAATATTTATCAAAAATATTTTTTTTGAAACTTAAGGGGACCCAAGAAAAAACGAAATCAGTTTAAAATACGTTTTAAAAATTCGAAATAATTTGTTAAAAATTTTTTAAATTTACTTTTATTTTTAAAAACGCTATGATATATCAAAAAAACAAAGGATCAATTTATTTTTTATTCAGAAACAGAAAATCAGAACAGGAATTCAGAACAAGTACCATCGTCAAGTAGGATCTAATATTACATGGTATTTAACGTTATCTATTATTAGGTGCTACATGGAATAACCAGAAAAATCTAACATTATCTTTCATAACTCTCGAACATTAATGTTCTAATTAGTATGATATAAAAGGTTGACATCATTATATGTATCAGCATTATATAACGTTAGATTCAAATACAAACTAATATTATTTAGCTTTTCACCTTAATATTATTTTGCATTTATGTTTTGATTTTTGTATAATATTAGATTTTCTGTAATTATCTTGCATCGTTTTCCATTTTTGGCATAAGCAAAGGGGAAGATTTGGATGGTCGTAGAATAATTCGGTCATATAATTTTACGTGATGTACTGTACTGTGTTTTGGGTAGCAGCATGATTTTATGATGTCATTCGGCGCATTAATTACTTAGCAATAACTAATAATAAAACTATACAGAATTCTGCTAACATCCATTTTCCTCCGTCTTATTCCAAAGTATACTTTGTGACCAGTTGATTTTTTGATTAAATATTTCAAATTTAATTAAGCAGTAGTACTTGTGTAGCTGAACTTATATTTATATTTTTTGTCTTCTTTTCTTTATACAAAGAGTTTCTTGATAAATTAGCCAAAAAATTTACGGTACATTTAAGTTTCAAAACCAAAAAAATATCAATTTTTGTGTTTTATCTCAGTTAAATTATCTAAATTTGCTCAAGCATGTTATTGCATATGGGAATGAGACGAAAATTCATAACATTTTTATATCGTCTTTAAGTTTCCCTTAGTATTAATGATCAAAACATCATCAATTACTTTTTTGACAACACTGCTATCACTAAATTTATTTATTTTTAAAACAATTACATTGATTGTATATCGTTGATTAGAGATCGTTGAAAAAAGAAAATGCCAAAAAAATTGAGTAGAGGCAGAAGTCAAGTTCCTGGTATTGATGAATTAGCCTTAAAAAGAATTATATTTTTAATTCAAAAATTTCGTTTTCACAAAGAATATACAGGACCTTACAGATGAAAATTTAAACAATATTCTTTTCCACATTGATTTAAATTTTTTGTTTTTACAATAATGTAAATTCTATTCAGCTAAATTTAAAATATTAAGACAAATAAATTTTTACTACTATATTATTTTAAACATGATAAAAATAAGAAAATATGTATAATTTTTTTATCTCAAATTTTAACCGAATAATTCAAAAGTAAAGATACAATGCTGGTAGAATCAATACTCATAAGTTCGAGTTAATATTTAACGACAATGTTGAAATAAAATTGCTTCTGATTTAAGGAGAAATTTTAAGTAACCAAATTTTAAACGCATCTATCTGCTTTCATAACACTTAAGCACTACTATAAGAAATTAATATGTATATTATAAAGTTTTATTAATGAAGATATCATATCTGCAAACCTCCTTTTCATAAAATTCTGAAGATTTATCACGAAGTTCTAGAATAAATTACACACTGCAGTAATTAAGAAAAAAATCATGACAATACATTATTATTTCTCGGAATAATTATTATTATTTTTTTTAAAAAAACACACCATAAAATAAACTTTATTTAATTATAAAAGCAATATATTCATACCTTCAATATTTAATCTAAACATTTCGATAATCTTTTGGTAAGATATTTGTTATAAATCGAAATATTTTTTATTCTTTATTCTAAAAAGCAACAGTTCGACTATGTGATTTTATTTTATTTATAGTTACTTTACAAAAAATTTTGTTCATAGAGTTCACAGTCATTTCATACAGTTTAAAGTTTTATTCCTTCAATTGCAAGTTTACTTGCAATTATATTTCCAAGCAATATACCGAAGAATCTTTGAATGCTTTTTTGAAGGATTTTATAAAATGATCAGCAGTACCTAATAATGTGTGTACCGAGCAAACACAAACAACAGGGATAAATTACACAGGTAATCGTCTCTCTCCAAACAAAGCAACCAACAAGAGGACTTTCAGCCATCGCAAATTTAAAGTGTACTTCGTGAAAATACCTGTTATTTTGTCTGATGTCATGATCGAACCTACGATCCCCCTTTTTTCACCGGAATGTGTCATTTCCATTTTCAATATCCAGCAGCCCAACTCAAAATTAAATTGTAACTTCCTTAGATTAGCTTGAAAAAGAAGATAAAACTGTAGGAGAAAAAATAATTCAACTTTACATTGAATGCACTAAGTTTAAAACTATTAAGCATTGAATATTTATTTGAAACTTTAATTATTTAATTTGAAAATGTTTTTAAAAAATTGTGATATCCTTTATAATAAAATTCAATGAATAGGATTCTGTATCAATATATGCCCCAAAAATCCCTGTTGTGCCACACAAGAATCGAAAACATCACAGAGGGAAAGGGATTAACTAAAAGAGCCAACCTCTCTCAAGTACGAAATCCATTCGACCCTTTTATTTGAAGTGGACTTATGAGCATATACTGATAAGAAAACAACTCAAATACAATTTTTTTTTTTTAAGATAAAGCACCCTGAAACTTAACTATTAAAATTTTTTGCACATTGAATAAGCTCATAGAGCCAACAGGAAATGCTCACGTTTTCTAAACTTTCTGAATAAAAATTGTACTTACTTTCCAGCACTGCTCTTCATTCAACGTAAGCAAGACTTCGAATAGACCATATTGTTGTTTATTTATTAATCATTTGCCATAATTTAAAAATTAATATAAATAATGATGTATCAAAAGCATGCAAATCTGTTTATAATCAAGAAATGAAAAGAAAGATGTTTAACTCATTATTTTACAATATTTTGAACAAGAAATTTTAATAAAGTAACAATGCGATACGAACACTAGTGTTCGTCTTATGAATAAAATTTTAAACATTGTTAAATGTAATGGTTTTAACTGAGCTAAAAATAGCCGATTAATTTATAATTATTTTATCATGGCAAGCTTGTTTACAGCGAATTATTTTTTATCTTTATCATTGTTGTAGAAAAATTCTGTCAGATTCGAATAACTAAGTAAATATTGTTTTGCGAGCATATTCTGAACTGCATAATTTATTAGTAATTACTAATAACTACCATCCAAATCCTCCTCTTGCTTGCTCCAAAAATAAAGAGCAAAGTAAGATAATATCAGAAAATACAAAATCTAATATTATATAGCGTTAGAACTAATGCAAAATAATATTACGGCGAACGATAGATAATATTAGTTTGCATGGAATCTAATATTATATAATGCAGAGCAAACAGCGACCTCTTGCATCTTTCTAATATTAGAAGTTGTGCAAGATAACATTAGATTTTACCGATTTTCTGATGTTAGCTAATATTAGGTGCTGCTTGAGAATAGTTAGACAACAGGTTTTATCTCAGTTAACCGCCATGAGCGAAATATTCATTGTCATGATAAAAAGAATTCATACTAATTACACGTTTAATTGGATACATGATAATTAAATTAGTAATTACATGTTTTGATTAGGAGGTTAAGATTTCTAAGTACGCTGGATGCTTTTATAACATCCTCTCTAACACAATATATTTTGAAGGGCTTTCTTACTCCTTTAGCTGATTTTCGACTGAAGGAAAATACACTACCGACGATACTAATTTATTGTTTTATGTAACTATTATTGAAATTTGGAAAGATCAATAAAAATTGACATATAAGTTTCTCGTTTTTTTTCTTCAAAAAGTGTGTGAGCAAAATGTACTTCTTATGTGACTCACACGTCATTAAAGTATTTTTAAACTTTTTTTTTTATCAAATGAAACGGATTTCTTTTTCCAATTCGAAATAGTAAAATCAATTCTTTTTGATGAAGAGAAAAGAAGTTACTTTGTTATTAAATTTTCAAACCAAAAGATTTTGTTTTAACTACTTAAAAACTTTGTTGCATATTGTTTAAAACTAAGCTTACTATTTATTATAAAAATAATTATTATTAAAATAATTATTACAAATAAAGAGTTATTATAAATAAATAAATAATACATATAAATAAATAATACACATAAATAATTGATTATTATTTTTAATTGAAGTTTCCTCTGACATCCAAATAGGTTCGGTTTAATCTTAAGTTAAGTATGACTAGGAATTTTAACTATTTAGCTAATTTTAACTATTTTGTAATCTAAAAATGGAATTATTAATATTGAATTCACTTATTTAAATTTAAAATTTTCTTAATTTTAGGTGAAAATTACGTTTATGCATATTTATATCAAACTAAAAATTATTCTTACTTATAAACACACACGTGAAGTAAATCTTTATTTTTACAACGATCTTTATTTTTACCTAGTATTTAATTTGTTTTGCATTGCAATTAAGTCAACAAGTAAAAAAGTCTTAGAATTTATTATTATTTTAAATAAATACAAAATTTTAATAAAATAACAGAAGTCTTTTTCTTACTCTATATATACCTTGGCCACCAGCTCTATACAAATAATACTTCGGGAAAAAAATTTAGTAATAAATACTACGATGATTTAAATTAGTATATTATTCTTTTTTAAGCTTTAACAGTAACTTT